CTCAATATTTTGCAATCAATTTTGATAAAACAATTTTTAGTTTTGTTTTTTCCAGTAGTAGTAGTAGTAGTATATCATTGAAACATAATATTTAAAAATGTTTTGTTAAAATTTCTCAATAATTATCATTTTATTAGTAGTTAGTTATTAATAACTATTGAATTTTTACAATATAATTATTTTTTTCCCGAAAAATTTATAATCATTATTTATTTTTATATTTATATGGATAAATATTTTGTTATTATTATATATTATGAAAATATTAATTATTTTTAACACATTTATTAATAATAATATAAATTACAATAATTGTTTAGTTTTGTATACGATTTTATTATTTAGCATGTTGCGTTTTCTATTTTTATTATTAATACAAATAATAAAAATTTGTTAGTAATTATTTTATTATAATTATTATTATTATCGTTAAATCATTCAACATTTTTTTTGTGTTTGTTTGTTATTTTGTTTTATTATACAGTATTTCTATATTTAACAAACTAATGACTCAATTATATATATTAAAGTAAATATTGTATTTAAATAAAAAAATTGCGTAAAATATTTCTATCATTTCAATGTCTCGCATATATTTCTAAATGATTACATTATAATACAGTATATACTGTATATACAGTACAATACATATATAAAATTTAAATACGGTATCTGTTTATTTGTATTAAATGTTGTCACAAAAATAGTACATTTTAATTGATACAGAAATTTTATATTAGTTTTTATTATTATTTGCGGATTTTCCACTTATTCTTTGTTTTTTTTATTTATTTATTTATAGGAATATATGTATTATTTTAACATAATATTTAATTGAGAATCGTTTTTCTAGGAAAACTGAATTTCTATCCAACAAAATACTCGTAAAAAAATTTTATTTGACTTTCTCTCTCTCTCTCTCTCTCTCTCTCTCTCTCTCTCTCTCTCTCTCTCTCTCATTCTCTCTCAACTTTCTTTTCCACTATCTATCTATATATCTATAAAAATTTTCTATTGACAAGTAATAATGTAATATAAGTATATACTGTAAACTTATATTTCCTATCATAAATATATATATTAAATATAAGCTATAGACAAGATATAGAAACATGGAAGTCACACAAATATATATATATATCACATAATAGAAATTGTCTCCAATAGTTAGCATTTATATAAAATATATATTTGATAAACAATTTTTATATATTTTATACCATTTATTGAACACAACATTTTTTTATTTATGTCTATATATATATGTGTGTGTGTGTTTTGAACATTATTTGAAATTTTGATATCAATTTGCATTGATTTTATATGATGAACACACACACGCCGAACATATCATCAAAAATAATGTATTATTTTTAGTTTTTATTTATTTTTATTTTTTTGCTATTGGTTTTATGATATGTGTATGTGACCTAAAAAATGGACATTATATATATATATATATATATATATATATATATATATATATCAATATAGATAAAGTAATTTGCAAAATGTACAATAATTGTGTCCAATATACATATGCTCAATTTAATAATATACAGTAATTATAATAATTTTTGTTGTTTTTTGGTTATAGTTGTATCCAATTATGTTATGTCTACCATTCCTTTTATTAACAAATTTATTACATACCATTCCCCCCTTTTAATACTACTAAAGATACATATAAATATATATAAATTCATATCACACAAAAACATTAGTATACATTGTTTATAACTTAAATTATATATAGTATATACAGTATATGGTCTGAATTAATAACAGAATATTTTTGTATATTTTCCATTGCTATAGTGATCATCATATAAAAGTATTTAGGTTTTCTAATTAATGACCAGAATTATATATATATATATATATAGAATTTATATACTGTATATATAATGTATAGAATTTATATATATATATATATATATATATTACCAGAATTTTTCCGACTTTTACTATATATAAAAATTTTCCGTATTTTTATTAACATTGACCTCAATATATCTTACAGTTTATACGGTTTCTATCCATATATATATATATATATATATATAGATTAACATTTAGGTCTCTCAACAATTTAGGTTTTTTAATATATATATCTTTATCTAATATAAGTTATAAATTTTCTCGCACACCCTTTCACTCATCGAAAACAACGAAAAAAAATTATAAGATTACCGTTAATGTCAACCCTTTTTTGCCAATAAAAAACATTATTTATTAAACATTATATTTTTTTCTATACACACACACACAAAGTATATATCAATTTTATCACCTCATCTATTGTATTGTATTCCCAGAACTGAAGTAATTATCGGATATTATAGGTCTCTCCTTATGGAGTATATGTTTATATATATATGGTTTTGTTATGTCTCAATTATAACGATAATATTTCTCTCTCTCTCTCTCTCTCTCTCTCTCTCTCTCTCTCTCTCTCTCTCTCTCTCTCTCTCTCTCTCTCTCTCTCTCTCTCTCTCTCTCTCTCTCTCTCTCTCTCTCTCTCTCTCTCTCTCTCTCTCAATTCATTCATTCATTCACTTATCAATTTCAATAATCCAGTAATGGATTTATTGAATGACAACATAAGTACTGTATTTATATATATGTATAGATATGTATTGTGTATATATATTTAGTATATATATACTTTTAGCTGTTATGAGTTGAAAATATTTGTCGGAAAAAATTTCTATTCATAATAAACACACTAAAAATTCATTCAAGAATTTTAGGAATTTTTTGTTTTCTTGAATAACATTGTAATAATAATAATAATAATAATAATAATAATAATAATAATAATAATAATAATAATAATAATAATCGTTATAATAAAAATATAATGACTAAATAACATAAAATAAAATAGACGCCAATTTTTAATATTTTTATGCAAATTTTTTACTTTTCTTTATTTTATGTCAATTATATATTTTCTCACAATTGATAGATAACAAACATAATTTAAATATAAATGTAAATCAATATAATTTATGTGGCATATTTTATTTTTTGTGCCAGACATTTTTATTGTCATAAAATTATTTTTTATTTATATGTTATAAAAAAATTACAATATTGTAGCATATTAATTTTTGTACTAATATTTACTTATTTTAATAAAAATTTAAAAAATACATATGCTTTGTTAGGATTTTACATTGTGATATTATATTTACAGTTTATATATAGATATATATTATTATATATTTTAGTTTGTTTAAATTTATCTAACTAATGTTTATATTGTAGAGAAAAATATATAATGTAATCATTAAAATTACTATATTTTTATTATTTTATTATTTTATTTATTATTAATCATAATATTTATATTATATATTGTAAATTGAAATATTTTTCTAGTTCTCACTTATACTTATACAATATATTCATACAATATTTGCTAATATATGCAATTGTTTTTATTTTTTGTTTGTTTGTTAACTTCTTTTATTTTTTTATTATAATATTTGTGTTATAATTTAATTTGATTGTATAGAAAAAAATTATTATATTTGCAATTTTTATATTACTTTATTTTTTTCATCACTTATATAATCTTATAGTTTCCAAGCATTTAGTTCAAACATTATTTGTTTCGCTATATTTACTGTATATACTTATGTATATTATTTTTATGTTTTTAAGGATACTATTATATATATATATAATATCCTAATAACACACAAAAAGATTTTTTAGTGAATACTATACAGTGTATAATATGCATATCAATTGTAAAACACAATTTGTGATATGATTTTATTTTTGCTTAAATTGTTTTTTATTGTTGCTTTTAGTTTATTTCTTTAAAACAATATTTTTGGTTTTATAAACCAACAAAAAAAACTAAAAACCCATTTATTTGTATCTAATTTTATTTATATTTTAAACCAATTTTCAAACAGACCAAAGAGCGGTTCAATGATGTTATACTCGCGAAAGCGGGTCCGGTATCGTCGGGACGGCTACTGTTGGAAGAAACGTAAGGACGGAAAGACTACTCGCGAGGATCACATGAAACTGAAAGTTCAGGGAACGGAATGCATATACGGCTGTTATGTTCATTCAGCTGTTTTACCAACATTTCACCGACGATGCTATTGGCTTCTACAGGTATGTGGTAAACCCATTACTATACAGTTTAATACAAATTATTGATATAGTTATATACTCTATATATATATATATATATATATATATAGCTATTAGATTTTATTTAATAATTAATTTTAGTTATATTGATAAATATTCATAATATTTTATATCAAGTTTTATTAGTTGTAAGTCTATTTGACAAACATGTTAATAAACATTTACAAAATATTTTTCACCATATATTATATATATGTAGTTTATAAAATATTTAACTATGTTTGTTATAAAAATACATTTTTATTACATTACTGTATTACCAGTATTATTATTATTATTATTATTATTGCAATTCATATCCTGTTAAATACCCAGTGCATGTGTTTATCATCATTTAGTTAGTGTGTATGTGTTTTCGTTATTTTATTACTTGAAAAATGTCATAATATTTTAGTATATCATATATATATATAACATTTTTTTATTTTTAGTTTTTGACGAAAAATTTTTAGTTTAAATATTTTATTTATTTTCTCATTTTATTAGTATTATTATCTTTTCAGTTTCAATGCATGTATTTCCCATTCATTTACTTTACTTTGTTTTATATATATATAATATTTAAGCATAACTCTAACTAAATGTATTGTAAAGCTCCGGCACATAGCGAGACAAATGAAAATATTTTGTGATATCGATTATATATAACTTATACTCATTTATCTAAATAAATAAATATATATTTATATATATAAGTGAAACAAAACAAAAATTATATATTTAAAACAATAACAACAATAAAAACTATCTCTTGAATTGATCTATTGAATAAAATTGTTTAGGGATCAGTTGGCAGTTAAAAGGGCGCACCAACAAAAAAATAGTTATGCATTTTTGTAAAATATATGCAATACATTTTATATAATACAGTATAATACGGTATACATAATAGTAGTGTATTTTGGGGATACAATGTTAAGGAATATAAATACACATTATATATATTAGTACAGTATATTGTACTCTATATGTCTAACTAAATAAATAGTATAAAATTATTATTATATATTTAAATAATGTATATATCGAGAGAAACAACGACACAACTACTAGAATTAATCAAATTAAAATAAAAGTACATTTTATATATTTATATATAGTATATAATAGACTGTATATGTTTAATGTAATAAATTTTAATATATTAAATAGTTTTGTGTGTATAATTTTATTATATTGTTTAGCATAAAATATAATGCACTTTAGTATATTTAGTATAATATTTTTATAACAATATATTGTGTGTGTATATATACATTGACATTAATAAAAGCAGTCATATAGGACTCAATCATGCGATGCCATGTCTTTTAATAATGTAATATACCGTAAAAACATAACCTAATCTCTCATTTTTATTATTATTATTATTATTATTTCAAGTCTCCGACAAATTTTACAAAAATTTAGTCATTTATAAAATTTTTTGTGTTTAAAAAAAAGAATTCTTATATTAAATGGTTAAATGATTACATGTTTTCAATAATTATATTGCATTTCACTCTTTAATATGTCATATCTCACGTAATCTCTCTTTAATCACATTTTGTTCAAATCAAAACTCAAATGATATAATAATTAAACCCTTAAATGTTATATATTTCTCTCTGTGTGTGTGAGAGAGAGTTATATTTTATATATTATATTTATGTGATAATATTTAGTAAAAAAATAATAGATACACACTTATCCTATAATCGATAAAATTATTGCTTTTTTCAATGATCTGCACGAAAATGGGATAAAATAAGTTTTATCAGAGTTTCTAAAAATAATTTCCAATTTCACTAACATTTATTAAAAAATAAAATAAAATAAATAATATATGATATAATTTTAATAATATGTAATTATATATTACTGTTTTATATGTGATAACACTGATTTGAAATATTCTTTTAGAAAAATTGAAATTAATTTTTAAATATTTATACACTGTTTTATTATCACAGTATATTTAATATAAATAAATACAAAATTATATTTCTATTTTTATTAAAACAATTTTTTAATTAATAATGCTTAGCATTTTTTTTGGCATATATTACAAATAAATTGTGTGCTATAAAAATCGATAAAACAAAAATGTTTTAATAAAATTTTATTTATTTATTTTTCTATTATTTTCTAAATGAAACAAATTTTGAGTACTTATAGTACTTTATAGAAATATACAATATATATATATATATAAATATAATGTATAAAATAATAATAAGATATTTAATATCTATATTATTAATTAATATCTTTTCACTGTAATATTTTTATATTAGTATTTTATTACTATTTCTTTTACTATATTTTATATTAATATTCTGTAGCGTTCACACTATATTTTTCAGATAAAAAAAACATTATTGAATATATACAGTATATAACTAAAGTTGTTATACATTTGTGTGTGTGTGTGTGTGTGTGTGTGTGTGTGTGTGTGTGTGTGTGTTGTTAAATAACAAAAATGCTTTTACTTTGTTTAGTAATTATTATTATGTGGATATATATTTTCTTGATAGTTACCATTAAAATGTCTAAATAGTAAATTTAATAATAAAATTAGTTTTTTAGGGATGAAAATGAATTTGTTCTTTAGTTATTTATTTTTGTTGTTGTTGTTAAGTCCAGACAATTAAGTGTATAATAATAATAATAATAATAATAATAATAATAATAATAATAATAATAATAATAATAATAATAATAATAATAATAATAATAATAATAATAATATAATATAATATAATATATACAAATACATAGAAAAATATGTGGGTCGTATAGACACTGTATAACCGGGTGTGTGTGTAAATGTATGTATATGTGTTTGTGTGTGTGTGTGTGTGTGTATGACTGTATGTGTCTGTGTGTGGGTATAAAAATCCAGACACACGTCTCACGTCTGATTAATCAATATATCACACAATGGTTTGCACAGAATATTCTATATATACAGTATATATATGGATAATATATGTTTGAAATTTTAGTCAATTATGTGTTCAATTTTGTTGAGTTTTTTTGGGCTGAGTTTGCATTAGATTTAATTCTCTCGCGATTTTGTCGTCAATTTTATTTTGTTATTGTTTTTTGTTTTTTCTTTCTCAAACAATATATTTCAATCTGTAATCACTATATGTGTGTCTAAATAAAAAAGTCCTAAATTTTAAATAAAATTTTAAATAGATTTCTACACAAAAAATCGTTTTGGGCAAAACAATTGATTTTATTTTATTCGGTTATATTTTGCTGATAGTGTTGTTGTTAGTTTTATTATTATTATTATTATTGTCTAATAGGATATACTTATACACGACTCACATATCTAATATCATAGACACCCTCTAACACCAGCCCAACCACTATAAACATTATTTATTTAATATAATAAATTTATCTCTTAATATACAGAAACAGAATATTCTTGATATATCTATTGTTAAACAAAATATAAGAGATTTTAAAACTCATTGTTAAGCTGTCGTTCCCTATCATTGCAGTCTTCATAATGGTGTGTACTGTAGATGTATGTATGTATGTGTATGTGTGTATGTATGTGTATATATATATATATATACATATATATATTTATTTTATGTCTGTGTGTTTATGTGGCACATACCATTGTGTGCATAGATTTTTGTGTTAAATTTTTGATTTTGAGATTTATTTTTATGTCTATGTGTTTACATTTGCTATTTATATTAATGTAAATAAAATTTTAGTCGCGTTTTCTTTTCCCAGTATTTTTCTCTGCTCTAATAATTGTGTAATTTTCAGCTAATTTATGTTTATATATGTATTTTGATTGCATGCCATGAGTTTTTATAAATATAAATATATATATAAATTATATATGCAAACATAACATTTTATGAATATTTTTTTTGTTTTATTTTTATTACATATTTATAAAATAATTTTGTTGTTGTTTTGTTGTTCACATTTGATTTCATATTCATTTGACAAGATATCTATTTGATATTTTGTTTTTGTTTTTTGTTGTTTGTATATATATATTAAAATTTTATTTATTATACAGTATACAGTATATAAGATAAATATGTATATAATATATATTTATACCTTATATATAATATAGTGCTATATTAATATTGATTGCAATGTTTTAATGCAAACTCTCTCTCTCTCTCTCTCTCTCTCTCTCTCTCTCTCTCTCTCTCTCTCTCTCTCTCTCTCTCTCTCTCTTGAAAGGATTTTCACATATGAATTTCAATGAAATGAAATTAACATTTTTGTTTGAATTGATGTCTAAAACTTTTAGTAGACATCCCTTTTATGTGTTGCAAACACACACACATAACATTTACTTAACATTTACTTTTAGTTTAACCATTTACATCAGATACAGTATTTTTATCTATTTTAGCCTGCCATCAAAATGGACAATAAAACTATATAAACATATACAGATATACTACCAGTGCTTTTATTATCGTATACTGTATAAGCATTGGGTTTATACAGTATAATATAGACACATACATATAGATATACAGTACAAGTATACATTATATTATATTATTCACATTTACTTGATTTACTCATTAGTGATTCATAGAGAGGATGATATACTGTTTTTATATATAAAGTAGTATCGATTTTAGCGTATGATAAGACACAATGGATACACACAATAACAGTGTTTGTATTATATAAAACCCAATTTGACTGACTTGTATGATATGGTGTATGTGTTAGAAGCTGTTTAGTGTCCATTGCTTGGCATCTCATATATATGCCATTAGATCTGTAAAAACCACGCAATCATCAGTTGTATTGTATTTTATGTCTCGATTTGAAAGTCTTGACCCCAAAAGTCTATCTTTTTCTATCACAACACCAGAATTGTTAAACTTTTGCCCAAACGATATGCCAAACGACCACTCAATCGCTATAACCAATACAACAACAACTACTACTACTACTAATATTACTACTACTGTCTATAGTATCCATAAGACTACATATAAGATCAATAAATGTATTTTTATCTCTTATTCTTTGCTCTCTCTCTCTCTCTCTCTCTCTCTCTCTCTCTCTCTCTCTCTTTCATTCATTCATTCATTTACTAAGTATGTGTTTTGAATGAAACTGTCAGTTCAAATACAATACAATACTGTGTGTCTGTTAATTAATTTGCAGTCATTTATTTGGTTCGCCACTCAAATCGTTGCCTTTTTTCTAATCCCCGAGTATTATGTTTCTTTCGGCTACAATAATAACTATTGTTATAAAAACTATATTATAAATACTCTTTAAAAAAATAATATTTTTTTTATATACAGTATACTCTCATTTGTTATATACTGTACAATATATATATAACATATATCTATCAATCTATTTAATTACTGTCATTCAATTTTCAGTGTATTCATAAATTTTTTATTATATTTTTTTGCAACACACACACACTTACATAACTGTGTAGTGGTCTATCAATAGATCCCAATGTCTTGTAATCTATACATACATACATAAACTTAATATATTTATAACATAACATTTAATGGAGAAATAGATTCTCCTGAGAGTCGAGACAACAATTTTTTTTGTTCAATGACTACAATATATTTTAATATCATATATATTGTATTATATCATATTCACTATTTATATTACATATACTTTATATTATATTGTTATAGATATAAATTTTTATCATTTCTTTTGTTACACAATTTTTTATCTTAATATATATTTCATCTATTTGTATATCATATTATAATTTCATCCGTACTAATGAATAAATAATTTTTCCATTTATCTATAAATATTAGTGATATGTCATATATACAGTATATAATAAAAAATAGGAAATGATTTTTCTATTTGGAGATATAAAATATTAAAGTATTGGAATAATTTCAAAATAAAATCAGTTTATTAATTAAATTATTATATTTTTAGCTGGAATTTCTAATACTTAAAATTAAAAAATTTTTATTTTTTTTGGCTATACAATACTTACTATACAATATTTGTTGTTGTTAATGTATTTTATCAATCGATTGTTTATATATATATATACGATTTGATATGACATATAAAATGATATAATTTTATATACAGTATATATATATTTATTGATTTAACTGATGGACAATTAACTTAACGTGAGATCATTTATTTTTATTTATTACTTAACAAAATGAATGAACATTTTTTTTTGGTTTGTTTGTTGGGTTAGTATAGTATAGTCAGTCTACAAACAGTTAATCTGTCTGTCCTTCACTGATGATATGACACGTGAAATATTTAGTGTATATACTATTAATTTTTATAAATAAACTGTATTTATATCAAATAATGTGTGTCTGTCTGTTTGTGTGTGTCATATAAATTATAATTTATGAGATATTATTTGTTTGCTAAATAATTGTCATTTTTTATTGAAACAAATACAGTATTTGTAATAATAATTAATGTTGTTTTAGAATTTTTTTAAAAAAAATAATGTTAATATTATTTAATTTAATTATGAATGACTATTATTTATTCTGTACTATTATATAGCTTATAAATTTAGTTAGCAAACATTGTTGCATTTTGTTGACTATTATTATTATTATTATTACAATAATTGATTTTCAATAATCAATGTCTTAAATTGAATATTGTTTTTATTTTAATCTTAATTAAAATTATTATCTTTTTTCGTTTTTATTTTTTTGTTTTGTTAAATAGTTCCAATTTAGCTATTTATTATTGCAAATGTAATTAAATTAACTATGAAATCAAGTATAAATAAAAAATATATATATATATATATTTATAGAATCTATTTATTTAATTTAATTTAAATATAGAGTATATATATTCTATTAAACTATATTTTGCAATAAAGTGTTTATGTAAATGAAAAATACTAACAAAAATATTTATTAAAAGCCATAAATCTGTAAAACATTTAAATTAATGCATTTTATAAGACTGTCTGACCTTTACTTGAGTTGCTTTTTAGATGAAAGCCATGTATTTTACGGTAAAAATTAATTAATTAATTATTTATATATATCTCTAATCACTTTTAACATTATAATTGCTTTTATACATAAATTTATATCAAAATAATTGTTTATTTCCTATATATTAATTAATTATGTGTCATTTTTATTTTGTTTAATTTTTAAACACACCATTAAGATTGGATTTTATTATTAATATTATTAGACTTGTATATTATATTTGTAACGGGAATTATTATTATTATTATTATTATTATTATATGATGTACATTAATATTTATGAATATTTAATTATAATACACATAAAACTATAGATGTGTTGTCAATTGAATTAAAAGACATCACTATCTATTAAATTGCGATATTTTATTACATTATTATATTAGATATTAGATATTAAACACATACACATAATATTATTGTGTGTGTTTGTGTACAGTATTATTGTGTAATATTGTTTAATTTGATGTCATGACATAATATCATATCAAATAGACTTTAATTATATTATATCATAGGTTTTTAGTATTATGTTTTATTTATTTATTTATTTAGTTATCTTTTTAAATGTAAAATCAATTTTGTATTCAAAAAATTTGTAATAAAAAATATTGATTTTTGTTTGTTTAATATATATATATATACAGAATCCGGATATAGTTTTGGTTCACTATCTGAACGTTCCCTACAATGACGACAATAAGACCATAAGTCCTGCACTCAACTACTTTACCGACAACAAGAAAGAGTGGACTAAAGACGAGCTCATCTGTGAGCTGAAACCTATGTGTAAGCGAAACAAATTAATAGTATGACTTCCTTCCGTCCCCACCCAACCCACCCATACACCCAAAACACACACACGTTATTGTGATATTAATGCCAAAAAAATGATGTCAAATAGTCTTCAGTGAGAATGAACCGGATCTTAACAACGAGCTCGAGAAGAGCACAATCGAGACGATTGAGGCCATCGTTGGTCAACTGATGATCAAACAGAGGGCTAAAGTGAAGGCTCTGGAGGACGCCAGCGATGGCGGAATCAATGCCAAAGCGTTGACTGTAGTAAATGCTATCAACAGCAGTACCCGTGAGGTGATGGCCAGTAAGCAGACCGGTGTCAAAGCAACTGTCGGCGGCGCACACAATAAGTGCAGACAACCGGCGACTGTTGGCAATAAAAGAGACGTATCCTTACAGCAGAATATTAATACTGTCGACAATAACTCATCGAAACAGTTGACAACTCAGGTCTTGACATTAATACTCTGTATTATTATTATTATTATTATTATCGAAATTCACTGTTTGGCTGACGGCTCAGTCATATATATATATATATATATATATTGATTGAAAACTCTAATAATGATTGCTTTCATTCATTTAGTTTCCAGATATATATATATATATATATTTATAAATTGATGTGTGTTATACTGTATATAACTGTATATACAGTATATTACATATAATATATATTTGTCGGTTTAGTCAATTGATAATATTTATTCCGCTCTTTTTGCTATAAACTTATATTAATGATCAGTTCATCTCATAAAACTCATAAAATCATCGCACAGTTATTACTTTTATAATACTGTATATACAGTACAGTACTATTGCCACTCCAACTGTCGACAGTTGTGTATTTGTTGGCTTAGGTTTTAAATTTTGAATTTTATTAACGCTTTCGCTATTTTTCAACTATAATTTTGTCGTTAATATATATATATATATATATCAATTGAAATTTATATTTCTGTAAGATATATACAATATTTATATTTATATATAACTTTATAAAATATTTTATTTCAAAAAAAAAATATTGTTAGCTTATGAGAAACTTATAGGCTTTTTTAGTAGTGTTTAATGTGTAACTAACTCTATGTTATGTTTAGTTAAGATTTTTTTTGAGGTCAAACCATATAATGTCGTCAAAATAAAGTATATATAAATTTCTTCCTCTTTTTCTTTTAAAACATCTGTGTATAACATTTTTTTTTATATATAAATATATTGAAAGAAATTATTATTTTTAACAGAAAAAAACAAACATTTCTTGTTTTGTTTGATTTTATTTCATTCGAGAGAATGGGTTTTCATTATTAGAGAAAAAATCAATTTTTAGAAAAACATTTTTTATTTTGTATTTTATTTTATTTCAGTCATTTCTTAAGTAATTAGTTTTTTAAACAAAAATAAAACACGATTTTTTGGTTTATAATAATTTTTATTATTATTATTATTATATTTAAAATACTGGTCTAATCCTAATAAGTGTTTTCATATATACTGTATGTATATAATTATAATAACCTTTTCTCAGAAATTTATTATTACACAAAAATTTACACTAATTTAATGCCTATTAATATAATGTTGTTTTTAGTAATTAATTAAATTTGTATGCATTTGATGGCATACATAGAAATGCTTTTCATAATCTTTGTAAAGACCAAAGGCTTATAAATAATAATAATATATAAGTTATATAACTTTTACAGTATTTATAAATTAAATTCAATTTAATTACTGGGCTGTCATTGAGCGGATTTATCATATATTATATAATACTGTAGCGTATTATACAGTTTATTGTATAATGAATTAGTATATTATAAATATATATATAGATCTATTTAAACAAAAAAAAACTTTTATCAATTAATGAATTAATTAAAAGGCATTTATTTAAATGACTTTTATACTGGGATTTATATGAATATATTTAACTTAAACCTCACGTAATAATACTGTTGACTATAGGGTACCGTACAGTTGGTTCAGTTGGCCAACTCTGGTCATCATACGTCAGCTATGAGGACGGCTAACACTGGACTCCCACCGGTTCATACTAGTCAGTCGGCCGTCGGTACCGGTCCGACACCGTTGATATTTTCGTTGTCAAACTTGTCGCAGTTTCAATCGGGTTCCGGCTTATTGATACTCAACTCACCGACGGCGACCACAATTCAAGGCCACCACCCGAACCATAGGCCAAACGGCGATAACAGTCAATTGGCGTCGACACCGTTGACTGTGGTCTATGGCCGGCCAAACGGTACGGCCAACGGTGTGATAGACACCACTTCCATTTCCAATGTGATCTGCTCTACAAATAATTGTCTCAATAATAATAATCATATTATTACTAGTAATAATAATAATAATAATAATAATAATAATATTAATAATATTAATACTAATACTAACATTAATAATAATAATACCAATAATAATATGTCTTCAAGAAAATTGAACGGTTTAGACGACAGTTTAACCTCAACGATGACCACTGCGCTGGAGAATCGTCTAAACTATTTAAATCACTTGAATACACATAATATACTTAATAGTAATAGTAATAATAATAATCACAACTTGAATAGTATGCACATCAAGAAAGAGTTTGAAATTAATGGTAATATAATCAGCGCTTCCATTGATGTCAGTGACAGCCATTCAGATGATATTATCACCGGTAAGACTTTTTTTGGTTTTTATTTTTTTATGTAACTAATTGATTACACAAATTGTTTTGTTTTATTATTTCAATAATTAGCATCCAATACGTTGAACTATTTGGACGATCCGATGATTGTTAACAGTAATCCGTCGACACCGGAGCACATGAAGTCGTCGGTACATATGTTGACCGCCAACGATCAGACCACAAGCGGTGTGGATCTCAACTGTAATCAATTAAATCATTCCCAACCGCAACAACAACAGCACCAACTGTCACTCAATCATAATCATAACTATAGCTACAATCAATACTTCAATAGCATCCACACAAACAATAATAATCATACAAATAATAATACTAATAATGAGCTAAACAACAATAGGAACCAAAGCCACAATGGAAACTATACTCACGGGAACAATGGTCTCATGAACTACGGTATGGACAGTGGCGGCGGCGTTGGCGGTGAAGTGAATCCTATGGACTTTATCGACAACGACTTGCCGACACCCGACGAGACGCTGTTTAATTTGGACACATTCGACATATTGGGCGACATTGATGACCATTTGGACGAGTTGTCGTCGTCGGCGTCGTCACATACATTGCACTACAGAAGCTCGGGTGGTCTGAGTCACGGCAAACACCATCAGACAGTCAAATATGAATCTTCTTCCGCTAATATTAACAATAATAATAGTAATAATTCAGCACAAGATTACCGGGAAATTACCGCCAATATTACTGACTACTCACCCGAATGGTGTTATCCGGAAGGTTAGTATTAGATATTAGCTTACAGTAGATATATATTTTGTAAAGGATATCATTTACTATGATTGCACTGTTTGTTTGAATGGTTTATTAGGTGGTATCAAAGTGTTAGTGGCCGGACCTTACTTTACAAGCAATTATAAATATACGATACTGTTTGACGGCGTATCGGTGACCACACACTTAGTTCAAAACGGACTGTTACGGTGCTATAGCCCGGAACACGAGCCCGGATTTGTTACATTACAAGTGGCCTGCGATGGACTCGTCATATCTAATTCAGTTATTTTTGAGTACAGAGATCATCCAACGGTTCCAATGGAAAAATCGGAGGACTATTTCTCAGTTGATGGTAATAATAATAGGCATACAAAATGAAATTATAACTAAAACAATAATTGTTTTTCTCTGTTATTACGGTATTAAATACATATAGAAAACATATTTAAGTTTTCCCTATTGGAAAGGTTTGAATTACTTGAATCTCGTTTGTCTCAGTGCACTACAAAGCGTGGGATTACGGTATTTATATCTATTACCGCACTGTACTAACAATACGATAGTAATCCTAATCTGTTTTTATAGGGTTTGGAGTCGACCAAACATTTTACTAATTTCGAGGACCGGTTGGTCGTAATGTGTTCAGAAATGGCCAGTTGTTCGTGGCTTCCAATCAACGAGTCTAGTTTGACTACTCAATCGCTACGGGCCGGTCTGTCCAATCGGGACATGTCGTTACTGCACCTGACGACAGCGCTTAACTACTATAAACTGATGCAATGTCTACTTAAATGGCGCAAAGAGAATGGATCGCCAATACTGGAGCTGGAAGTCGATGCCTTTTCCTGTGATGATAACGAGTGCACACCATTGATGTGGTCGTGTGCTAAAGGACACTACGAGTCGGCCTTAATTTTGTACACTTGGAATCCGGCGGCCATTGAATTATGCAACAAAATTGGCGATTCGCCGCTACAGTTGGCCCGTAAGAAAGGTCATCGGCGATTGGTCGATGAGATAGAAAGGTTGACGGGTCAGCAGCATTTGACCAGCGGTTTGCGCACAACAACAACAATAACTCAATTCAGTGGTACACCTGATAATGTGATGAACAATAATACCAACGGCTTTATCGACAATGTGTTTCTGAAGCCCCGAAAAGCCAGTCTCGACATAACGACTGTCACTCAGAGCAAAGCTTTCAACAAAAATATCAGTCCGTCGACTGTCAAACGTGGCTCAGCTTGTCTTCAGCACGGATTCAATCCGTTTCCCAAACTTGTTAAATGTTTTTCGGCCGATTCATCGCTGACCAACCAAATGACGGTAAATATTTGTTTATAAATTATATTCAAAAAGCTATATAAATATTATTATAAATAATTTTATTATTGTTTTATTTTTTTAAGGATCAACTGAACAGTGATTCAACTTTTCTGTTGTCGTGCGTATCGGATAGCGATGATGATCTCGATATGTCGACATCTGGATCGACTAATGGCTTGTCTTCAAGTCATAGAGACTCAATCGGTTCCTGTGATATCATTATGGATTGCAATAGTTCCGAGTCTTCACGCGTATTAACACTCGCCGAACACATTATTGCTGCGATGCCCGACAGGATAAAGGTTTGCATAACTGTTCTCTGAATTAATTTTTTTAGGTTAAATTAATTTTAAAATAATGATTTTATAGGCGGCATCAGTGGCCTCACTTCCCGATGAAGATTTCGATGACGACTACTACGACGACAATGAAAATTCGGTCGAAGACATCAACGACTTTATTGATGGCGACATCGCCCGTACTAATCGTAGTCACAGTCAAATAAGCGACAATTTTTGCAATTTTTCATTTGAAATCAATGATAACTATACGTACCGCGAGTCGCACACACCGAGCAACTCGTCGCCGGCCAGTTCCTCATGTCTTCACAGTCCGTCGTCATTCCAGTTGGACTCACCGTCGCCAACGCCAACAGCCGCAGACTTTTGCGAATTTTTTCAGGCGTCCGGTAAGATCACCAAAGAGTTGGGCGATCTGACGCTTACAGACAGAGAACAACGCGAGCTCTACGAGGCGGCAAAAGTCATCCAAAAGGCTTACCGATCCTATAAAGGTATTTCCTTTCCGTCAGCATATATCTAGAGGCAAAACAATTATTAATTAATGGTAACATTTTATTTCTTTGACATAACATATATGGATAATTAGGTCGAAAACGTCAAGAAGAGCAAAACAAATGCGGCGGCGATAAAGACAAGGAAAGAGTGGCCGCTATTCTCATACAGAGCTACTATCGGCGATACAAACATTACATATACTATAGGCAAATGACAAAAGCGGCTCAAGTCATACAAAATCAGTACCGAAACTATTGCGAACACAAACGATTCAAGAAGTCGATTCCCGGCCACCAATTGTCGTACACACAGTCTGCGATCAGCGGCGGAGACAGTAGTGGACAGTCGGCGTCGGCCACTGTCAGCTCATACATCTGTAATTACAGTGATTGTGATCCTGTGATACCCTGTAAATCATCGCGAGAGGGAACGCCTCTAAGTGGTCTTAAGTATGCAATTTAGTTATTTGTATTACTAAATTAAAAATAGATAATAATAATTGACATTAATTGATCCATTTTCTATTATTATCTACCCGTCCTCTCAATAGGCGTACATATTCCCAACGGCGCCGCAATCAAGCGGCCCGAAAGATACAGCAATTTATGAGGCAATCAAAGAATAAGTAAGTGTTTTATTTGTGATTATATATATATATATATAAAGTATACACTATATATATTGTAAATTATATACATTAAATATCACTGTTGTTACCATTAGTTTTATTACCTGATATTATTATAGGGCTTTTATATATAATTTGTTGTTTTTTATTATTTTATTATATTGTTTTGTGTCCTAACTTTTATTTTCTTATATATATATTATACAAACTATCACTGAATGATTGATCGCAACTTTTAGTTATTAGTTATCGATTTTTTATAGTTATTTTGTGGGTTACGGTTGGCCTGAATTGACATTAATTTTTATTGTTTCGACATTTTTTTGTGGATATAATATATACAGTATATTATTATTATCATTATTATTATTATTATATTGTGTTTGCTTAATACTTTTATCGCCCAATTTATATGTTAAAATGTGTGTGTGTTTTATCATTTTTATTTATTATTATCATTATTATTATAATTGTAGTTCACTTTAATGTCAAACCTAATTTTAACAACTATTATTATTACTAACAAATATTTGCTTAAATTAATCTAAAACTAAAGTATAATATATTTTTATTTCCAATATCTATCCTATCTATCGCTGCCTATCTCTCATTAATATCTCTTAACTTTTTTTGTAAACAAACAAAAAAAAAACTAATTAACAAAAAAAAAAGTTTTTGGGATTTTAATTTTAATAACACTGCTAATAATAATTTGGTAAGTAAAAGCAAATTAATTTTTTTTTTAAATTATTATAATAATTTTAAATGTTAACACTTGATTAATACAATAATCTATTATTATTATTATTTAAGTTTATTTTTTTAAAATATGTTTTTTTAAATTGTTATAAAAAATTTATTTTTGTTTTTTGTTATTCAATTAACAAATTAATCTTTCAATTTGTTTACGCCTATAGATTACAGAGAGAGCGTGCTTTAGCTGCCGAAGAAGGGAATGCAACTCAAGAAGCCTTTACCACAAGAGCTCAAACACAACAATCTACTAATTGATTGATTATATGAGTTGGTCTTAAGCAACAACAACATCATTATCAACAACAACAACAACAAAATCACAGATAGAGATCACACACACACACACACACACACACACACACACACATAGTTGTGTTCATTTGTTGGATAATTATTTTAATTTATTAGTAAAAATCAATCAAAAATTATTGATGAAAAACAAATAGATCCAAATGATGTCATTAAAGGACAACAAACTTCAACACAGTTTAAAGATGACATACAGACAGACAAACAAACAATTTTTTTTAAAAAAAAGTTAATATAATTATATGAAGACATGTACCGTAATATCCAATATTGATAACACCCGTTGTTGTTGTTATTATTATTATTATTATTATTATTGCCTAACCTTTATCTCGTTTACGACACAGTTATCTATACTGTTGTCTTGTCTTTATATAATGTAAATACAATATATATATATATATATATATTATAATATTTTACTCATAATTATCTATCAGCCTTATTGGTTCACCGCAAAGAAAAAATTGAATTTTAGTGTGTTTTTTTTTAAAAAAATGGTGGTACCCTTTTTTAGGGCTGGTCTTTCAAATTTTTACTATTATTATAATATAAAAATTAGCAAAAAAAAATAGCGAGAGAGAGAGAGAGAGAGAGAGAGATAAATATAAAGATATAGGTGATTAAATAAGTGATAAAAACTTGTGGACTATTACAATAGGGGAAAATTAAATTGAAAAATAATCGATAAAAGCGACAATAATATTATTGCTATCGGTTTTATTTTTAAAAAATTAATTTAATTAATTTTTTTGTTGCAATAATTTGTCGACAAAATGTTGTTAATATTGATTGATTAATTTTTGTTTGTTTATTATTAATATTATTATTTATATATATAATTATTTTTTTTCAATCTGTGATAAGGTTATTACTATTAGTATAATAATTATTTTATGTATAGTGTATTATTTATTATTATTAAGCTAGGCTAATTTCTAATAGGTTATTTTGTCTATAAAATAAATTACCAGTAAATTGTTTCATCAATGTTTTTTAAAACTTATATTATAACAATACTTATTAAGTTACTATTAACTATTATTAGTAGATGTTATTTAAAATATTGATTACTTAAATTATTTGAGACATTAGAAAATTTAATTATTTAGTTTTTAATTTATAAAATTAATTAATTTAGTGATTCTATATATATATAGTATTAGTGATGTTATATTTCAGAAAATTTTTTCTTTAATTATTTATAATTTATTTTCATCAACAATATTGATTGATTATATACAATATACAGCATATTTATTTATATTTTTGTTATGTATTTTTAATTAATTAGTTGTTTTTTTGGTCTAATTTTTAATTAAATTTAATTGTCAAAGATATAAATTTATATATATATATTTCTTATATTTTTTTTTGACAAACATTTTTATAAATGAAAAACAAGTTTGGATTTTTGGAAAGTTTTTTTGTGTTTATATTATTGTTTGACTTTAAATTCCTTAAAATATTATATATATTTCATAATTAATTAATTATAATTATTATTACATAAATATGAATATGTATTATATATAGCGGCTTATTATTTATTTAGAGTTGATATTTATTATTGGAGTATACTATTTGATTGAAAATAGTATGCATTTATACATATTATTATTAATGTACAGCATATTTATTTTGTTATGTTTTTATTATTATTATTATTATTATCATTAATGCTATCAATTGATTATTGAATTGTTATTTTCCTTATTTGTGCCAATACTTAGAGATGTCAATAATATATAAATATATTCATCTGAATGTTTCCAGAAAAAAATTAACAAATATTATTAATAAATAATTTATTATCTTATTTTTAAATAAAATTAATAAACATTTTAATTGGATAATCAATTTAGTTGAATATTGAAATAAATGATATTTTGTTTAAAATATATAAATATATATTTTAAATATATCATTATTAAATTTATTATTAAATTGATATAAATAAACCGTATTTGAAATTTCAACTATAAAATATAACATGTCTTTTTAAAAATTAATTATAAAATAAAATAATATGAATAATAAATTATTAATAATAATAATAACAAATTATTTTTTATTGTTAAAAACGACAATTTATCTAAATTACAAAATTTAAAAAAAAATTTAATGTGTTTATTATGGCTTAATAGTTTAGTAATTATTACTAAAATTTTAATTCTGTAATTAATTTTTTTAAATTACGATTTTTTTCAAAACAAACAATTTTATTTTGTAAAAAATATGTGATAATATCACTATTAAAATTAATTTAATCTACAATTATCTGACCCGAAAAAAAACATTTTCAATATAATAAATGTTGAAATTTTGGTTTTATTCGCATTAAATATTATTACTCATATTATTACTCATATTATTGCAAATTTGTTATCTATTTATCTCAATATTATCTAACTGAACATGCTCACTTTATAAATAAAACTAAAAAGTTTAATATTAGGTGAGCCCTATCTATCCATTTATATACCGTTTGTATAGATATATAATGTTAAAATATTTTACTAATTTAATTAAAAATAAAATAATTTATTAATATATTATATAATAATAATAAATGATTATTAAATAAATTTTGACTATACATTCCAATTAGATTTTAATAATTAATTAATAATTATACTTTATTACATTAAATTGACATTTAAAACAATTTTTTTTATTTTGTTGCAAATCGTGTCCAGTAAGTCATCAATTAATAATTACAGTAAATAAGTTTATTTAAAAAAAAGATTTATTAAATTATAACAAAAATGTTATATAACATTATTGATCTAATTAGGATAGGATTTTTTTTTTAATTAAACTAATTAGAAATAAATTTCAATTATTTTTTAAAATATATTATATGATTATTTTTTTCTAATAGTTAATTAAAGTTTATTACTTTAAATAATATTTTATTGAATGACGGACTCGTTTTTGTAACTATAAAAATATAACATTAATTAATAAATAAAATATGTATTAATAAACATATATAATATTGTATTTGAATGAAATAACCAAAAATACTTAAATTGTATATTTTAAAAAATATGCCTTAAAATTAAAGTTAACATTTAGATATCATATTTAGCAAATTAAACACGTGATGTATTTTAGAAATAATTTGAACTTGGTACAATACCAAAATTATCTACAAATAATTAAGTAAAATACAATGTGTTAAAAAATTCCCATTATTTGATGGATAAAAAACTGCTCAATGATATTTGCTATTAAATATAAGTGATTTTATGGGAATTTTTTAAAATTTTATTACTAATTAATTATTAGTTATAAAAACATATTGATAACTATTAATAATAGTTTTTTTTTTGGTGAAAATTACTCTATTATCTGAATTATTATATAATAATTAGATTTGTAGATATCATTAGTGATTAAATTTAAGACAATTTCTAATTATATTAATTAATTTTAAAAATATAACTATATTTCATGTTAATTGATTGTAATAACGATAAAAATAATATGGAAAATAAAATTAATAGCTTTTATTGTGTGAAATATTTGTGAAAAATTTTATAGAAATAGTTGAATAGATTTAGATATAGATTTAGTATTTTTTTTAAATATATAACACATTTGTTTACATAATGGATATAATTGATTGTGAATATTTTTTTCTATAAAAAATTTTAAATAATTTATATATAAAAAATTGAATTTTGTGTTTATTTGCATAAAATATATTAATTTAAATCAACTGTAATTTATATACAAAATGGAAATTTTTTGTTTGATTGCTTAATACAATCAATTGAGTGTTTAATAATTGCTATCAATTTATATGATGACTGCAAAGTCAGTATAAAAAATTTTGTTTAATTGTAAAGACTAATGCATTTTAAGTCATAACTTATATATGTTTGACTATAAAGCTCTGATGAGACCACCGCCGGCCGAGAAACGATTGATTCCGGTTGTGATGAGACCACCGGTGGCTAAACCGTGTCCTCCGGCCAAAGCGAGACCGGAATGTTGGGCGACAGCCAGAGCTGGCTGAGCAACGGCAAAGGCCGGCTGAGCTACGGCTATCGGTTGGGCCACTGCAACAGCCGGTGCGGCGACGGCTACTCGATGGGCAACAGCTACGGGTTGAGCGACGGCTACGGGCTGGGCAACGGCTACAGCTTGGGGTTGAGCAATGACTTGTTGGCGCTGACCTCTGGCCACAAGTGTCTGAACCTCTTCCTGAACTGGCAGTACTTCTTGAGTGATGCGACGGAATGGGACAATAGTTTCGCGCACTTCCTGTATGACCGGCTTAACGACTTCGTGGACAAGTCTGTCGGGCTCCTCCTCCGATCGGGTGGCCTGATGTTCGCCGGGACGGCCGGGAATGTGTACCTGATTGACGTTGACTGGACTGGACTGCGAACGGAATTCGATATTCACGGGCAATATATTCGGCTCAACAATCAGTGTCTGGGGTTGGATAACATCCTGAGGTGTTGGGACGTCTATTACTTGATGTGATCGGTGAGTCTGGATGGCTGCAGTAACCGGTCCGATTGACTGTACGTGACCGACATGAGCGTGTCCCAGACCGATAGATCCGATAGAACCGATAGCTAGTGGCTGAGCAACACGGAAAGCGGGTGCGTGGGCCACTGCGATCGGAGCGGCGGCAATGGCGTGATGGCTACGGACAGCTCCCAAGTGAAAAGCCGGTGCGTGTCCAACAACACCACCTAACGATGAGTGGCCTACAACACCAAAATTGCTATGGCCTATCACTCTACCGTGACCTACCAGTCCCCGATGTATTGACAATTGGCCCCAAACACAATTAACGGCTAACGCTAGAAAAATAAATAACTAGATTTCACGAAAAAATAAAAACAAAAATTATTATAAGTTTTTTCTTTAAAAAAAAAATTTGGTTTCACAAACACTTTTTTTGGTTGTTATTTAATTAACAAATAAAAATAAAATGTAAAAATACCTTTGAATTCATGATTGAGTTATAAAGAAAACAAAATGATAACTAAATTGAAAAAATAAATTTATTTGACTGATATTTCTGTAAATGTGACTATGATTTTCAAATATAAAAATCTCTTTATTTATATACTCTTTAATTGATGACAACTTTTCGATGTCGAGACATAATAATTGTGTTAAAAAGATTTACTATTGATATCTATATTGTATATTATTATTATTATTATTACTGTATTATGAGGGATGAGCTGCTACTGTAGGTTAAAGTGAAAGTTAGTTGAAATCCACAAAAAAAATTAATCAAATCATGAAAACCATCTTAAGGTTAGATAAGATCTCTATTTTTAATTATTTATATTAAAAAAAAAGTTTTGAAATATATTTTTTTTTATTATAAATATTTCAGCACATCTTCACAAAATGTAATTCATATCTAAATTAATTCAATTTTGTTTTTGTTTTAATTAAACGATTATATTAACATAAATGCATTAGTTTTATTGCTATATCTGGTAATAAAATTATGATTAAATTGTTTTTATTAATTTATTTTTAAAATACTACTTTTTTAAAATGTTTAGTTAATAGTTTTAATAGCAATGTTGACATATGATTTTTTTTATTATAAATACAAATAAGTTAGTAGATATTATTATTAGATACTATAGGTTATAGAAAATATTACTTTAAAAAACAATTTTTGAATACAAATTGTCAATGAATTTGTCGAAATATAAGATTTATTTTGAGATTTAGGCCACAAAAATGTGATATTTTATCAAATATTTTTCTCTCAAAAATATCTCATTAATTTTCATTACTAGTGTGTGTGTGAAAATAAGACATTGCATTAAATCAATGTTTTTGTCATTAAAAAAAGTTAAAGTTGTAATTACAAGTAAATTGCGATTATATTTTGATTAGAAAAATTCAGATATCTTTTTTTCGCAAATTTTTTGGATAGATTTTTAATAAAATTACAAAATTTATGATTTAAATAATTCTGTATAATATTATTACTGATATGCATGTAAGTAATTAATATATAATTATATGAAACAGTAAACATTTTTTTAATACATATTTGTATTTAAAGAGTTTTTATTTTATTTTCATAATATTGATATTTAATTTAATTGAGGCCAATGTTAGGTGTAATGTTTTTTTTAAATTTATAAATAAATACATAATAATAACATAATTATTACAATATTATTTATACATCAGAGATTTGAAAAAAACAAATTAATAATTTAATTCAAATTAAACATTAGATTATTTGTCTTTTTTCCTTTTAAAATGAGGCCAATGTTTGTATACAATATTTTTTTTTGGTGTGATATACTAAATGCATAACAAACATGTTTTTTGTTGTATATGTGGAGAGATTTACCGTAAATTAATTTTTTTGGTGACATTACATTTAATTATACAATTAATTAACATAATGTCAATGTGTGACTAATCATTGTTAAAATTTAAAAAAAATATTTTAATTAGATTTTTTTATATACAGTTATAAAGTTATAAATTTTATAATTTTATAATAAATACAAAATTATGAGACTCACACTCATTGAATTTAATTATAATATGTGAATCTTATTTTAAATATGAAATAGAAATAATGTTTTATTTCAATATATTGTAATAAAAATAAACAGTATTTTAGACATAATGTTTGTTAAAAAAACTAATAATTGAATATACAGTATAAATATTGATATATTTAACAATCAATTTGAGCAAACTTTTATTACTATATATTATTTGAATAAATTTTGTTAAATAAATAATTAATTATGTTTTTAAATTTAATTTTTACCCGATACTTTATTACAAATTCTATGTTTTAATTAAATTATAAATTAATTTATTACAAATTATTTATTTTAGACTAGATATGTGTTTATACGTTAATCATATTTGCTGTATAATAGATATATAAATAAAAATCATTGTACATATATTAATTTATTAAATTAATAATTCAATATAATAAAATATTTTTTAACAACATTTAAGTATTATTTTACTATATATATATAAATTAAATTATTTTAAATAAATAGATTTACATAATATTAAATAATTTGTATTTTTATTCTAATAATTTAACAATTATATTAAAATATGGTATTTAATAATAATAATAATTAATCAATAATTTTAATTCTAAAAATAATTTATATTACAATTATATAATATATATTTATTCTATAAAAAATTTATATATTTAATTTTAACTATTTATAAAAATATAATTACATTATACCGTTATATACCGGTATATATACTGTATATATATATATATATATATATAGTACAGTATATACAACAACAAAAATCGTGTCAATCAAATGTGTTATCTTGAAAGTAATGTTTGTGTTGTATTCATGATATGATTGATTGAATTTATTGTTGACGACGAGTTGGCCGCCGACAGATCGGCGACAACGGGTATTACGGCATTGGGATCGTTGATAGAGTGAAGAAAAGCAAAGGCACCGGCCATCAGACAGTTGCCCAACACATCGGCCAACGCCGACGTGAACGGTATGGCCGAGTTGTCCGGATTGATGTGCCGTTTCCACGCCCACAATACACTGACATAGGCTAAGTAGAGTAGGATTGTTATCTGTGCCATCACTGCGATCAGGTATGAGCCGACAAATGCAGCGGTAAATGTGAAATTATTTTTCCAGGCATATATGATGCCCAGATAGAATAGATGAGCCGGCACAGTTATGGCCAACAATAGACGTGCCATACGTGAATGGACACCTGTGTATGCCATCAGATATATGTATTAATACAACTGTTTAATTGTGAATGTTTTTTATGTTAATTTCAAAATTTTTTTTTGTTGTTGCATACCATTGCCGATAAACGGTGCAAACGGCTGGACACAGGCCCGGGAATTGCTTTTAGGTAGTTTGCCTTTGGGTGCTGTTTGATGCAAATATGTGGACAGTCGACTCGTTTGGATGCCAACTAAGTTGCTGCCAATGCCTTATCAATTACATGTGACAGTATTTAATGATTAGTTATTTACTTATAATAATTAATTATTATCATATATTATTGTATATTTACTATTATATTATATTATGTTTTTCTAATACAAAATTATTGAGATTCATATTAAGTGTCATCGATTTGCGTCAATAAACACTTCAATAATTGAAGTGTTATATTTTTTTATAACTTATATTACAAATCAAAAATAGATAGTTATTGATAATTTATGTACTGTACAGTACTTATATATATATATATATATTTATAAAGGGTAATGGGTATATTAAAATTTTAACTTAACATTTAAGTAATTAATATATGTTTTTCTATCACTCAATTAAAATATTTAATTTATTATTCAAATGAATGGAAATAAAAAAATATTTGAATTTTTTTTTTTATAGATACCATTGACTAACGGCTGAAACGTTGACATTACATCGTACTTATCAAAGGCATCGCCCATTACTAGACCACCCGGTTGTTCAATGATAACGGCACCCAAAATCGGTACCCAACCGGTCACTATCACAGACTTTGTGTAACGGTTTTGTCGGGCAATATAGCCGGTTATTGGCGCTAATAATAAAAGTAATGCTAATATCAGCACCGGTATCCATAGACGGCCGCTAATAGTTTGCTTATACATGAAATCGCTGATTACGGCCAGTATTGATATTGTACAGACATCACCCATTGATGCGGCCACTGGTGTGGCGATGTTGTCTAAAAAACATATATCAAAAATAAATTTCCGATAAATTTAACAAAAACTAAATAAGTTTTTAAAAAAATATCATTTTAAATAGATTTAATATGTAAATATAAATGGTTTACGGAATAAATTATTTTTTTAAAAAAATATTATCAAGGTATACACATTTTTAACACAGTTATTTAATTTTTAATCTCTGAGAGAGTAAATATTATACTAATTTAACAAATAATTTAACTTAAACTTTAGTTAACAATATTATATTGCATTTGTTTAATTGAAATTTAATAAACAATTTGCTTTACAAAAAAATTATTGAACACAAAACAAAAATTAAGACACAAATAAATGTCTTAACTAACTATATTATCAGATTAGTGACCAGTGTATCGGTTATAACTTGTATGTTATAATTAATTAATGAATTATGAGATAAATTATATGTTTAAATATTTTATTGATTTCTATCTTATAATGTCTAATCTTGTGACTAAATTTCAAATATTGTATATGTATTTTAAAATGTATATAATGAAATGTTATAATATATTGTAATCTAATGTAACATTATATTAATAAATGTATTATTTAAATTGTACTGTAAATTGTTATCAACGGTTATAAATTAAAAATATAAAACAAATAGAAATATCAAATAAATTAAAACAATTTCTATATGTCATTAACTTTAATATTATTATAATATTTTTTATGACTTAATGTCAATAACTACTAAATAATAAATGGGGTGTCTAATATAATTATCTTAAATTTAATTTTATCACTATTTAATTAATTAATCAAGTTTCACATTGTTAGTTAATTAAACTATTATAGTATTTTTTCATAGTATAGGTTATAAACTTTTCAAAATTAAGTTATTAGCACTTGGTAAATTTGCTTACTAATGCATTATTTCCAAATATTTAAATTATTTAGCTATTTTTATTATCATTATACAATGCCATATACCATACCATATGCAATCATTGTATTTTAGTGTTATAATTAGTATTATATAAAATTATTATTATTATTAGCTATATTTTATTACATGTTGAATCGTCTTTTATTATAATATTAAAAATTTTTCCAATATTGTCGAATAAAATATTTAATATCTTAATTTCCTAATAGTAATAATTGTAATTTTTTATTATAAAAATATTATATTTTGCAACAATTTACACAACTTATTAATATTAATTATTACTATTTAAAAAATATAGTTATATAGCAATTACTACTATTAATTTGTTACTATTAGTAGCTATAATAAACAATAGTTTTGTTTATCATGAATCTTACAATTTTTTTGTGTATTTTTTATGTTTTATGTAATACATGTAATTATTTTAATAAAATTAATTATTTTATTATTAACACATAATTATATTCATAATTAGTTATTACATTTTAATTGCACTATTGCAACATGTGATAAATAACTAATATACAATTTTAATAATTTAATTTTAAATATAGTTAATAAAAATAATGTAAAAATTAGTTATTAAATTTTTAAAATTAAATAGTTTTTTACATTGATTTCAAATTATTATTATTATTACTATTACTAATGTATTATTATTTTACTAATTATCAACAATTAATAAGGATATATTTAATAGTTGAAAATATTAAATGTTTATTGTTGTCAAATAAATAAAAAATAATAATAATAATTGTAACCTTCAATTAAAATTCCGTTAAATCACGATAGTTTACTATATTTTTATTAATTATTATTATTTTTATTTTTATTAATTATTTTTATTTTTATTAATTATTATTATTATTATTATTATTATTATTATTATTATTATTATTATTATTATTATTATTATTATTATTATTATTATTATTATTATTATTATTATTATTATTATTATTATTATTACTATTATTATTATTATTATCAATTAATATCAATAGTATTGCAATCTACATATCTATTAAAGTATTTAGTATACTATTTACAATGTACAGTACTTTACATTGAAATTATTTATATGCTGTATATATGTAAATATTTTTAGTGGTATTATTATTATTATATAAATTTTTAAATTACATGTTTAGGAAACATAAATTATTTTACAATTAAAAATAATGATAATATTTTTTCATAGAAAATTTTCTATACAAAAAATTTATGTCTAACTGTAGAAAACAATAATACTGTATGTTATTTGTTATTATAATTTATCCTATTTTTAGCATTTTTATCTTATAATTTAGTTTATTGTATTAATAATCATATATTAATAATAATTTAGATGACAATTAATACTTATATATTTTACTTAAATTCACTAAATGCTTATAATAATTGTTTTACTAAATATATGTATTTAAATAATTTTATAGTTTATAATCTTTTATATATTATGTAAATATCTTTTAAAATAACATTTATTTTAATTAATAACAAATTTTTATATTTTTTAGTGATAGATAATAAATTAACAAAATTAAAAATAGTTACTAATTAAAACAAATTATAACATTATAAGATTAATTAATCTTAAACTACTATTATAACTATTATAATTACAATGTATTTAAATTTATAGTAATCTACATTAATTACTTTATTTTTTATTAATTAGATATTATAAAATAATTACATTATACTGTTAAATACAAAATTAATATACATTACTTTTGAAAATAAGCTTAATTCAACAAGATAGATAATTTATATCATATGAGCTAGATAATAGTAGTATACAATATATATAGTATATAAAATAAGTAATTACTAATTGATTTTATACCATAGTTTGGATAATTTATTTAATCCGGGATAATTTTTTTTCATTACGTACATAACTTATCTTATATTTTTAACCCAAAGTTACAAAAATTAGAGAAATTATATAATAATAATAATAATAACTAAAATTGTTTTTATTACTTGTAATTTTTAAATACAAAAAAATATCTATAATATTTGAACTTAATAATTTTTTATAATATTAGTTACTAATCAGTTATTAGGAAAAATGTATTATCAATTAATCAATCAATTAAAACAATTAATATGAGATTAAACAGTAGTCACTTTTAATCTTAATATTTTGAAATAAAAAACTTATTGTTGATATACTCTATACTGTATTGTCTTATAAATTGTTAACTTTTGGAAAATATTAATAAAATTGATAAGAAAAATGTAGGGAAAAATTTTTATTAATGTCAAATAACTGAAATGTTTTTTAATTGGAAATGTTATTATAACTTATTAAAGTAAATATTATTGAAAATGTCTTATATATATGAAAAATAACTTTTATAATAGTGATAATTATTTTATCAATTACACAATTATACAGTAACTTATATTATTTATAATCAACAAAAAAATAGTAATAATAATTATAAAAAACAACAACAATTACCTGGATTAATATTAATCTTTCGGGCACCTATGATGATGATTGTGATAGCAGTGGCCAGTATGATGTTGGCCACAATACTGGTGCTCACAGAACTGGAGCACAGTATGAGAATAAGGTGACCCATACTGACGGCACTGAAATTGCTTGACTTGATGTAGGATATGGCCAGTGATGCAAATGCGGCGAACAGGCCTACAGTAGAGGCCTGACAGATGACAACACACGAATTGGCCAAAACCATAGACCGGAGTCGCGAGAAGACGTCTAGTGTGCCTAAGTTTGAGTGAGTCGATAGTCGCGAGGCCAGTGTTGTCTCGATGTTACCGATAAGACCGATAAATGACGGCACCATTATGATCAACTGGGGTATGGCCATAAAGGCTTGCGTGTGCTGGACATTGTTGAGCACAATGCCGGCCCCAACTGAGCCGATGCCAGCAATGAGAAACGGTATAATCATTTGCTTCAATACAGTCCACGTCGATTGCATCCGCGGCTCTTCGTCGCCGTGATGTTTGTCATCGTTGTCGTCGTCATCGACATCGATGAATGTCTTCGTATTGATGACCGATTCGGTCGAATGAATCGGAACACTGATTATTAGTTCACTTTTGTTTAGGCCATTATTTTGTATGATTGTTGGCGCACCCGATTTAGCAGCGACAACCACTTCGTCTAGCGGTCCCAATGGACCGATACATCCATTTGGACAGATCTGACCAGTGCACGGGCATGTCGGCAACTGCGACGATTGGATATCGTCGACTATGAAGCCATTGTTGACGGCACCGTTGGCCTCATGTTTCAATGCAAAGCCATCACTTTTGCGTCTAATAACACTAATAGTAATGTCTGTCTCTCCATCACTGATGACATCCTCTTTATCATTGATGCCATCGATTTCATGGCCATAATAACCAGCGCTGCAGCTATGGCTTCGTTGGCGATAAAAGTTTGGCCGATAAATGCTTTCCGATACGCGACGCCTTGTCGAGTGTGTCCGATGGGTATTATTATTAGTATTAATAATATTATTGTTATTATTATCATTGATATTATGATTTAACGAGTTGTTTGTCGGATAATTCATTAGATTTTTTTGTTTTCTGATTGTTTTACTTTATTTTTAATATAATAACAATAAAAATATTTTATTAGCATTCACAATTTAAATTAAATAATTTTTTTAATAAAAATGATATTTTTAAAAAAAAACTATTACAAAGTTATTGCAATTATTCAAACAACAAAAAATTAAGTAATTAATTAGTTAACAAACAAAAAACACTCACACATAACAATCAGTAAAACACAAGTGAAATAGATATTTAATAATTCAATTGATTTTTAATTGTTTTCTTAATAGTTAATAATAATAGTTATCATTAGTTTATTTGAGATAAAAAATCATACATTTTTTAAATAAGCTACTAGGTTTGTATTTATTGTAAAAAGCTCAGGTAGCTTGTATGATATGTATGTATTTGACGATATTACTATTGATAGGCAGCCGACACAGGGAGATATTTTTCTCATAACTAAACAATTTATAAGAAGATACTAATTAATAAAGATTAATATTTTTTTAGATGTAGACACACATACAATAGATAGATACTGTAGATATAATTTAATGTACATAATTAATCACAGAATAATTTTATAGTTATTTTTTAATGCCAATAATTTTTTTAATGACAATAGACTAGAAACGACAGCACAAGCATTACCTGATGCTACCTTTCCTTAATCAAGTAATCACAAAATGATAAAAGAAAGAGAGAGAAAAAAAAGAAAGAAAGAAAGAAAGAGAGAGAGAGAGAGAGAGAGAGAGAGAGAGAGAGAGAGTCAAGAATTCAATTGTTTTGTCACCACTTATTTAATTTTAAAATTATTATAATAACTATACAATCAATAATACAATAGGAATTACATGGCATTTTCACAGTAAACTTTATATATATATAAATATATTAATTATATATTTTTTTAAATTGAATAAATAATTATATCTAATTACGTAAGAAAAACTTTTTTAAATATTTTTTTTATTTTGTTAATTCAAATGTATACTCATTTAGCAATTTTTTCATCAATATAAAATATACAGGTACATTGTCAATAATAGTTAATAATTTTTTTAAATAAATAAAAATATATAGATATAACTTTATAAATGAATGTCAAATATTTAATCTACCTGTGCATAATGATTCATTTAAATTAGTTATACTTTATTATTATTAAACGAAACATTTAAATAAATAACAATTAAATTATAATTAATTGTGAATTGCAAATGTCGTGTCATTTCAATCATTGCGAAAAAATTAAAATTATTGATTAGCTAAGATTATTACATTATATATAAGTTATTTGCTTTAATATTAGCATAAAAATGTACAGAAAATTAACTATAGTATAGTAAATAATAATAATAATAATAAAATACTAATAAATATTTTAGTATTTTTTTATTATCTTGTTTTGTGTTATTTGGAAATTATTTTATTTTGAAATTATTTTATTTGTTATTATTTTATTTGTTATTGCATTTAATAATAATAATAAATTATTACACATTATATAATAAAAATTTTCATTTTATGAGACAAATACTTTTTTAGATGTTTTAATCAACTATTTCATTAAAAATTCAATAAGATTTAGTACTAAACAAATAACAAATTATTTAAATAAATTATTTTAGTAATACTTAAACTATCAATAAAAAGTGTAAAATATAAATAGCTAAAACAATTTTCTATGTAAATAAAATTTAAATTTTCTTTGAATTATTATAATTAAAACACAATAATTTATTTTTAAAACTATATTATAAATATAAAATCTAATATTTGAATGCTTGCATTTTGAATAATAATTAGATAAACTTATCTTATTATTGATAATATTTTAGATAAAAAAAGTAAGTTATACATCATATTTTATGCTTGATTAAATTATATCAATAATTGACTAATTAAGTAATTTTTTTAGTAATTAAACATTGTTTTAGCATTTATAAAATGAAAAAATAATTATATTAATTTATTTATCATAGTATATAATATTGTATATATTTTATTTTAAAATTAAATGCATTAAACAAAAACAAAAACATTAAATTACTGTAGTTGTACTGTAGTTATTAAGTTAGATAACTAATAGCTACAACTGAACTGTAGTTCAATATAAAGTATAGTACTTAAGGGGAAACTAGTGATTGAAAATTGTTGGACAATGTGTTCAAACAATAAGTATATATAGATTTATATAAAGAGCAACATAAGGTTGGACTCGCATTGTAAGCACAGATACCAAATTAGCACAAGTATTCTCTCTCTCTCTCTCTCTCTCTCTCTCTCTCTCTCTCTCTCTCTGTGTGTGTGTGTGTGTGTGTGTGTGTGTGTGTGTCGGGTTAGGTTGAAATACCAGATGCTAACATTGAAACATATAGATAATGGGATATTTGTATTGGAGACTCAATTTAGAAAGACATATCGTATTGTCTCATATATTTTAACACACAGACACACACACACACCCGTACTAACTCACTCACTAAACTACATAAAGTTTACAATAATAATAGTAAAGTACAGTATGTATCGATTTTTCTTTTACCGTAAGCTTCCTATTGATTACTATTACAGCCGAATCCCTTTATTTGTATTGATTTGATCGTATTTTTTACTCTTAAAAAATCTAATGAATATCAGTCAAGTTTTTTGTTTGTTTGATAGTTTTAATCACGAAAACACACTTATCATAGTTGAGAAAAATTTGTGTGTGTGTGTGTGTATGTGTGTGTGTATGTGTGTGTATGTGTGTGTATGTGTGTGTATGTGTGTTTATGTGTGTGTATGTGTGTGTATGTGTGTGTATGTGTGTGTATGTGTGTATGTGTATGTGTGTGTGTGTATGTGTGTGTGTATGTGTGTGTATGTGTGTGTWTGTGTGTGTATGTGTGTGTATGTGTGTGTATGTGTGTATGTGTGTGTGTATGTGTGTGTATGTGTGTGTATGTGTGTGTATGTGTGTGTATGTGTGTGTATGTGTGTGTGTGTGTGTGTGTGTGTGTGTGTGTGTGTTTGTGTGTGAGAGAGAGAAATTTGAGGATGAATTAGGTTTAAATCTTAGACTACTATACGGCATATAATACGGTCGGTATATAAGTATAGAAAATGTATGAATTGATTGATCAAATGCTACACAAGTCTTATGGGTTTGCAATCATTGGTCTCAAACACACACAGCATAACAATTGATCAATTGTTAGATGGATTTACCATAATATTGATTGTAAACAGTACTATGGATTGTGTGTGTAAAAAAAGGACAGTCAGTCCAGCGTATTGGAGAGAGAGAGAGAGAGAGAGAGAGAGAGAGAGAGAGAGAGAGAGAGAGAGAATTTAATGAGTGATAGAAATGTTTGAACCAAAAGGCATCTCAAATGTTTGGATAGTTTTGAGACTAAAACTACTACTACTACTACTACTATTACTACTTGTGCACTAACCCTACCAGTGCTCTCTCTCTCTCTCTCTCTCTCTCTCTCTCTCTCTCTCTCTCTTTCTTTCTTTCTTTCTCTCACTCTTTGTTCACATCGTTATTTCAAAAAGGATTTATTAGCTAAGCCTTTAAGTTAGAAAATCTTTTTATTATTTATTTCTCTATATTTTCACTATTAATCTATGAGAGAGACATTTATATATTTTCAGTTATAGCTTCAATATATTGTATAATTACCAGTTATTTAAAACTAACATAAATCAAAATTAATTTTAATTAATTTTGAAACTAATAATAATAATAATAATAATTAAATTTACTAAACAAGTCAGCAATGTTTTTACATTACTTGACATTTTATAATTATTTATAAAAAAAAAAACAAAAACATTAGTAATGTTTTGTTACTATAAATTAAGAGATGGTTATTAAAATTTATAACTTTGTTTTGATAGTGACAAACAAATACAATATATATATATATATATATAACATTATACAGTAATAATTTTTAAACAAAAATAATTATACTGTAGTTAATTGCATGTTTTTCTGCTAAATAGTGTTAATCGATTAAATAGAAAAATAATATTTATATTATTGTATGAATTGACATTTTCATATTTAATTTAGATTTTTACAAATTTATATATAAATAGACTGTAATTTATATATTTGTTTATTTGTAAAATTTGTCTTAATTATAATATTGTAATATATTTAGAAGTGTTTATATAAAATATATATTTTATGTATAAATACAGTTGTAAAATTACTACAGTATTTTATAATTATTATTTTTTATTAATAAATTAATAATAATACTAATTAATTTATAAATCATTTGGTTTATATAACAGTATTTTATTACTATAAACCATATTAATTTATTTATTTATTAAATGTGATAGTTATAATAACTGTATATAAAAAATTACTTACACTAATAGTGTCCTTTTTGTGATTATTATATATTTAATGCAATATTAATAATTAAAATATTATTTTTTTTTAATAAAAAAAAGTCACACAAATTTTTTTCCGATAAAATATACTATTTTAAAATAATTGTAAATTTTAATTAATAACATAACATAACATTATTTGATATAAAATGTGAATGTGATTTAAAAATAGTAAATGAAAATATAAACCAATTTATTCTAATTAAAAAAAAAATAAAATAAAACACTTGTTTTAAAATATTACTGAAATATATATAAAAAACAGTTTTTTTCTTAACAAACGCTACACAACAACCAAATAGTAATTACTTTAAAGGATTTTATTTTTTGTTTTGTTTTATTATATTTTTTTGATTTACTAAAATAATTATATAAAAACAGTTGATTCGGATAATAATGAAATTTATAAACAAATAATTAATAATATTTATTTATTTGCTATTAAAACAGGTATGTAAATAATGTCATGAAATGCATCTCATCATTATCTTTGACTAACATTGTTTTTTTACATAATCATAAAATATATACATGTATATAAATAGTTTTAATCTATAATACTAAACAAACATTTAAAAATAACTAAATATACATTAAAAAAATTTCCAATATATGTATAACTAATTTTGATAATTAATATATTTTTTTTGAACTAAATTAATTAATAGATAATAATAAAAACAAATAGTTACACCAATGTGTTTGGTTAAAATAAGTTATTTACAATAACTTATTTATCAATAATTATATGATTTATATCAATAATATTTGCGAAACTTGTGATAAATGTTTTATTTATTTTATTGCAAAACAAATCAATTGTCCAGTCATTATCAATAAATGTTTTATTTAAAAAATTAATTAGGTAATATTTAAATACCAACAAATTTACCTGTATACTGTTTTGTAATTTTATTTTTTTAAAAATTATTTTTATAAAAAACATATTATGGTACCGATAATTTATAAATAAATAATTTTCAACTAAATTAATGCAAGAATTAGTTTATTATATTATCTTAATCTTATGTACATAATATAATATTAATAATATAAATAACAATAGTTATATAATATAATATCTAAAAATTATTAATTAAATATACTGTATAATAATAATAATATAAATTATATATTTATATATATATTGCAGAAAACATTGACTCAGATCAGCCGTTAGTTACAGGACCTACTGGTGCACACACTTCCCAGTCCCTCCCCCACTCTCTTTCTCTCCCCATTGTCAATCTCATTTTATCATAATAATAATTATTTATTTAAGTTAATTTAACAAACAGTGCTAAAAATATACCAATTATTATGCTGTATTTTTTCAAAAAAAAATTATTTAATAATAATAATAAAAGTAAATTAAGTTTTGTATAATTATTGTTTTGTATATATATATATATATAGAAATAATTATCTGAGATTAATACAGGTATATAAATTATTATAAACATTTGATCTTAAAAAAAATTGTCGACATATAAATAATAATTATAATAATATCAAATATTGAGCATCCAATTTAAACTGTCAAAATTTAATTTGACGTCCACCCCCACCCCACCATTTTTTATAGTATTAATAGAAATAATAATAATAATTGTGGGTTATCTTAATTAAAATAATTATTACTTAGCTACAAACTAAACAGTAAATTATAATAGAACTAAAAAAAATAAATATTAATTTGGATGGGGGGTGGGTGTGAGTGTGTGTGTGTTTAAGACACCATTTAAATTTGTAGTCACACTGTCTAATGTTCACCCAACTGTCCTCCGCGGCTGATCCAACAAGTCTTTAATATATAAGTTTATATTGTATAATTATATAATAATAATAATGATAATCTATGCAATCATTACACTAATATAATATAATATATTTATATAATATATATATATAATATTTGTTTATCAAACTAGTTATTGACAAGAATTTAGGCACTTTTATATACATTGTTTGCATTTTTGTTTTTGTTTATTTTTAATACTGATATTTTTGGTGATTGATTTGATGACTATAGAGAGCACTGTTGGAACGGAACCGATGTCGACAACCATTTATTTGACACGAATAGGGATACTCTCCGGTGTGTATTCTGTAATCATTTTTATATAATTTATCACCAAATGGTTTCCAAAATGTAAAAAAATTACTATAAAAATAATAGCAAACCTCTTATGATTATTTAAAGTACACTTTTGACTAAAACTTTTGCCGCATTTAGGCCACAAACAGAGGAACGGTCGCTCACCGGTATGGGTGCGCTATAAGACAATTAGATTTTTATTTGTTAATAAAATAAATCACTTTAAGAGCTAAAGCAAAAAAAAAACTGATTGCAAACCATATGTATAATAAGATTTTGTCTTTTATGGAACCGTTTTGGACATTGAGGCCATTCACAGCTAAACGGACGCTCTTTGTATGAGTCCTTCTGTGATCTGCTTCTTCTTCTACGACCGGTTTTGATCTTTTGATTGTCAACATCTCTGTCGTCCTCTTGTATCAAATGCAAGTCATCGTCACTTTCATCCAATTCGGTGTCGTTATCGTCGTCTTCATCAGCGATGGTCGAACCGATGCTTTTCATAGTATGACAACCACTGTTGAGACTGTGATCCAACTTCTTCATCAACTTTTTACATCTATTATGAATGACGTCTTCGTCGATAACCAACTCTTTTTGATCGTCACTCATATCGTCATCGTTAGTATCGTCGGCTTTGTCGCCGATTTTGTGATCGTTTGCCGACTCGTCGGACACATAGTCATCGGTACATATGTCTTGGTGGTCAACACTGGACTCTTGGCCATTGAGCGACCCGTCGGTCGATATCGACGTTGACGTTGACGACGACTGGCGAGTGATCTGTCGGACGACACATTTGTCCATTGATTGACTGCAGTCAAGATTGTCGGCAAAACTGATAACATAGACGTATTTGCCGTCGATTTGGTCGCACTCAATGTGGCCGACGTGAGCATCGGATCGGTGGCCATCGCAATCGGGTGCTATTATCTCGTAGAAAGCCATCGGAAGTGAGTTTGAGTGTATATGTCTTCGGGAGGAAAAAACTTCCGCCGAAAACCAAACAATTGATCCCTTAATCAGACATTCAATTCAATAATCATCGGATTTTTTTTGTGGTCAATCCAGTGGTGATCTTCGTGTCTCATATTAGGCTAAATATATGATATTTTTATGGACACTATTTGGACACTAATTATATTTATTATTTTTTTGTGAATCAAAACAATGATAATAATACTAATAATAATAATAATATACTTTTATATATCATATGTTATGTTATAATAATTATCACAAAAATCATATTATAATTAATATTATTTATTATTAATAATAATATTAACAATGAATTAGTTAATAGTTTTCACATTCATATGATATATGAATTTAATTTTAGTTTTTTATTTGTGTGTGTATTGTATACAACAACAAAAAATATTGAGTCAAATATATATATATTATATATATTGCACTCATTTTACGGTTATATTTATGATATATTTATAATACTATTATTATTATTACAGTATTATAGACCAAAAAAAACATTTGTGTGTATTATATGTAATATATATTTAATACACAAAATTCATTCATTCATACATACAGTCAGTCAGTCATTGAATATATACTCTATTTTTATTTTATTTGTTAGTTTGAGATCATTCAATGATATCTAAACTTTTTTTTAAGGACAGCACTAAATGACTTGACGTAAATGTTGTACCTTTTATTTTCATTCATTGTCTATCTAATTGACTGCCTAAACCAACAGTAACAAAAAGGTCCGATTGTGCTTAATGTAAATAACGTTGTTTTTAATTTTATTTATTTATATATATTTTTATAATTTTCAGTATTCACTAACATTTTTTTAGTGTTAAAACCATTTAAACTTTTGGGAAACTTTTTTTTTAATATTATTATTATTATTATATATATTTTTATTATTTTATATTATATATATCATTTTTGTTGGTTTTCTCACTCAACTGTTTATAAAATTTATATATATATATATATATATATATATATAACTTATACTTGTATTTATATAAATTTATATAATTGTGTGGAAAACCTAACGGCACTTAAAAACTACTGGAGTTTGCAATTATTGCATTGCCATTGCAAACACATTTAACAGTACAGTGCAGTACTGTAATACAAGTATAACACAAAGTTGTATATTAATAGAGTTTTGTGTGTATTTAAAATAATAATAATAATAATACTGTAAAAAGTTTTTAACTTTTGAAGTGAAACACACATTGAAAATTGAATGTTAGAAAAAAGTGAGTTATGAAATGTTGGCACAAGTTTTTACTGTATGTTTTGTTTTGAGAGATAAATTTATATACAGTATTATTTGTCCGCAAGTTTTGTGCTAAAACTTTATTTTACACATTAATTATTATTATCATTATAATGCACTAGTTTTTTTGCATTGAATATACAGTACTTACTTAATTTGAATTGTATTATATTTATTGTATTGTAAAAGTTAGTAATGTTTATTAATAAATTGTTAAAATAGTGTATATGTTTGTGTTGTTATATGTCGGATACAATTTTAGCGACAATTTTTCCCTAAAAAAATCAATTTTTAATATATACATGAAGTTATATATTTATATTAGTTTTTTCATAAAATCAATTTCAATGTTTATATAAAACTATTTGTAAGTAAATATTTTAATATATGATTTTTATGATTTTTATTTTATTTGTTAATAATATTATTATATATATATTGAATATAACTTATAAATTTAAATACATATGTTTTACTGCTATATCATATATAGTTACAAGTTTGTTTGTTTTATAATATACTAGCTCATTTATCATGGGTGTAATTTTATAATATGTATTATATATATATATAATAAATTGTTTGAGATATGTCAATATAAAAAAATAAGCCGGTAAATCATTTATTTGTGATTATAACTTAAAAATATACAGTAAATAAAGTTATTGAATGTAAATTAAGTTAAATGTTTTATATGACATATGCTTTTTTTGTAAAAATACATACAATTATAACTTTTATATGGTTTTTTAATCATTTATATACTGTATAATTGTATATTATCAACTTTTGTATAGACAAACAATAGTAAAAAAAAAGTTTTATATACTGTATATAATTGTATATAAGGTATATAAAGTATATACTAAATTATATACAGTATCAGTTATTTTACGATAATTACAACTAATATCATATGATAACTATACACTACTAACTGCATCATATATTTTTACTGTATATATAATTTTTAATTAACAATAAATACAAATTTCAATGGCATTATTAATTGTTGTTGTTGTTAAATATTACTATTATTTTTAAAATTTTCAAAAATTATTACTGGGTTTACTAAATAACATGTCTATCTCACTCTTTCTCTCACTATTTTTTTATGCTATTTTTATAACTAACTCACTGTTGTTTTTGTTGTTAGCATATGCCGAGAGAGAGAGAGAGAGAGAGAGAGAGAGAGAGAGAGAGAGAGAGAGAGAGAGAGAGAGAGAGACTTAGGCAAACTTTTAGCATTTGTTTTGAAAACTTATGAAAAAACTGTTATAATTATGACTTGAATTTTGTTGTCTGTGTTGTATGTATTAGTTTGTCTCTCATTTGTAAGGTTTGAAATGCAAAAACACACTCATATTTTATATTTTGTTGAACACAACAATATTTTGTTTTTTTGTGGTGTATTTAATAATATATACCGTATTACTAATATTTTTTGTCCTTATAATACTGTTATATACAACTGTATACCCCATCCGACAATATGTGTGCATAATTGACATGATTTTTGTGTGTATGTAATACTCAACGATATGTTATTTTTAAAAATATGCGAAAAAGCCAAATGTGTTCACAAAATGTAAACTTTTTGTCTATAAATAAATAATTATATATACGGTATGTATATATATATATATATGTATTTATAATATTATATAATAACTTTGACTTATCAATTTGCAACTCGTTTATACTGTATATTAAAGTTATGGTGTTATGTGTTTATACAAATGTAAATGTATATACAATTTATATCAACAACAAAAATATCATTTCATTTTATTATTGCTTCGATACTGTATTGACTTTTTATTTAAAAAAAATATTATTACTAATCATTGATTAAAATATTATTTTTTAAAAAATTGTTTGCAAATTAATTACTAAATTGTTAAAGTTGTAAAACAAAACAAAAAAGTTATTTTCCAGTGGCTATTGTTTTTTTTCAGCAAACATTAGCGGTTTTTTAAGGTAATTATTGTTTTATTTTAAAAATTTTGCTTACAATCTAAAAATTAAATTTTTGTTGAGTTAATTGTAATTTAAATTTAAGAAATACAATAATATTGGTTACATTAATAGCATCATTATATAAATTAACAAAATACAGATTATATGCTGAAATTGATTATATTATTGATAGAAAAAAATAGATTTTATTTTTATTTAAATTATTTTACAACAATATAAATATAGAAATTTTAATAAAAAATTCTATATTTTTGTTTAAATAAAATTTTCATATAAATTATGTTATTTTTGTCTGGAAAAAAATTAAAACTCATACATACTTAACATAATTTTTTAGGCGGAAAATTCATGAATTAGTATATTTATTTTTTTTAAAAAAAAATAACAAAATTAACACAAAAATATGCCAATAATTTAGCATGATTATTATAAATGTTTATGTATATATATATGATATTTATTTTTAATTTTAATATTCAAAAAGAAAACTTGCTAATCACTATTGGCAATATTTTTAAGTCTAACCTATTGATGCCCTAATAATATAATAATAATATGATATTAAAAAATTATCTAAAAAAAAAGTTTTAATAAAAGTTTATGTTTGTATTTGAATAAATAGAGATAAATTTTTGTTGTTGTTGTGATATAATTTTATTGTCGATATTTAATTGCCAGCACTGGTGACGACACTTCATAGATTTTAGAGGACGACATACATTACCTGGGGTTTGTCAAACATTAATCAATAAAAGTATATATTTATTTTCTCTACCATATATCCCACCACACCTAACCCGGGTCATATATATATCTCTCTTAGTAGATGTACATTGAAATTTGATTTGTTGTTTGTTTACGAAATACCAATAAATAGTCAAATATTTATAAATTAAAGTTATATATATATTTTTTATTGACATTTGACTATGAATTATGATTTTTTTTGTGTCACATCTAGTGATCACTACATCCTCCGGGGGGAACCAATCACTATATTATGTGTTTGTGTGTGTCATATATTTGTGATGTTTAGGTGATCATCATTTACTATCATACTTGTGAACTATCAGTTAAAAAACTAATATATATATATATATTATTTGAATTAGTTATTAAATTTCAATTTTATTAAACTTAAATTAATATATATATATATATATAGTATATACTGTATATATATAGCACATATTTCATAGAGTAATTTTAACTATTTATTTAATTATATAATAATTTATAATATTAAAATGAATCCAATTTATTTTATTGGGATATACCATATTTTATTAAATATGAAATTATTTTTAAAAAATTGACTCATTTGTGAAAGTAGTTAAATAATTGATATTTTCAATTGCATTTTAAATTTATATATCTTTTTTAACATGGATTAAGATATTTTTATTGTATAATAGGATAGTTTTTTAGTTATTTTTTTAGTTTCAATTTTAAAATAGACAATATTGTTAAACTCCAAAAACCGCTAATTAGTCGCTAGTTTTTTTTAAAAGTATAACTTATATGTTTTTATTGTATGTATAACAATAGTAAAAATCGATGTTAAAATAATTTTATGTAAAATTTGTAGAAACTTTATATAAATTGTATATTTATAGATTTCAGTTTAAAAAAGTATATATATTTTGTTGATTATTAGACAACATTGATTCAAACCGATATATAGTATATCGACAATTATTTATATTTAGTTGACATCACTAGTAATGTACTTCAATGTTTAATCTATAATAAAAAATAAAATAATTGTCATCTTTATATGTAATTACAGTTTAATTATCTAAAAAAATATTGAATAATGCAAAGCAAACTTACTAACCATA